CGCCTCGCCTCGCCTCGCCTCGCCTCGCCTCGCCTCTCCTCTCCTCTCGGCGCCCGCGCGGGCGGCTCCGGCGAGCGGGACCGCAGCGCCAGGCGCCCTCTGCCGCCGGGAAGCCGCATCCTCTCGCCCTAACCCTAACTGGCTGGCCACCCCCTTCTCCGCCTCCCCCCGGCCAGCCCGGCCCCCACGCTAGCTTCCGAGCCGGTTCCGCGGGCCAGCCCCGGACCCGCTGCTGCCCCCGGGGAGGCTGCCCTGACCACCCAGCCGCTCAGCGCCCTTCCTCCCGCTCCCGCGCAGCCGGTGCAGAAGTCATCCCCCGCGTTGATACATTTCCTGCTTCTCTGAATGCCTCGCCCAGGAGATAGTCAAATCGGACATCAGGGGAGCAAACACCACGTCTCTGGTGTTCACCATTCTCTCTCCTAGGGCTGGGTTAAGCGCCCTGCCTGGAATATCGAAGTGCGCAATGAATACTTCTTGAGGGAGCGAAAGAGTGAATGAATGAGTAGAGAGAGATTTTTGCCACTCTCCACCCAAGTAGGCTTTTAAACTTGAAGTGGACAGGTATCCTGACCTGGACTTGTTTTTTGTATGTCCCACACACACATACACATGCGTGCGCAGCTTTCTTTGCATGAAAACACGGGATTCACAATTCCCCACCTCAGACCAGCAACAAAGACGCAAACGGCCCACAGCTAAATGTTATTCAGGGCTTTGAGTCAAATAGACAGGTTTTAGATCTACCACTTAAAAGCTGGGAAATCCCGGGAAAGCTAATCTCCCTGGGCACAGTTACCTCATCTATAAATTAAGAATAATAAAATCTACTTCATAAGGTTGTTGTGAAGATTCATTGAGATCATGCACTGGGTGTAAAGCACTTTGCACAGCCCCCCTACCCCACGCCATGTGTACTGTAGTATCTAAATGGTAGCTGTTGTTAGTATTATTACTGGTCCAGTAGGTAATAAAAACTACAGGCAAATGTAAAATAATGGCTACGTTTCTCCCCAGGACACCCTTAATACCCTTGTATGTGTGGTATTGTCACCTGCCCAATAGGGCCAGCCCTGGGAGCAAGACCTCTCCAGTCCCTCCTCTGCCCAACCCCAAGAATTAACTGGTCTTGATTTTTTTTAAGAGCTGTAGAACTGGCTCTCCTGCAGGTTTTCCACCTGGGTTTCAGTGCCCAATCTCTTCGTTAACAAGTGTTTATTTTATTGCAAAGGCAGTGAACAGTTTGAAGGCCCCTGCAGTCTACTGCCTCTTTCTGTTTTCTTCTTGCCCCTCTCTTTACACCTTGAGGCCATCTTTTCACTTCTGACAAATAGTCTCCTTCCTGCTCTGCACATAAAGCGGCAGTGAGTACAGTGAAGTGGCATCAGATGGGACTGGGCTGGAATCCCAGCCTGTCCACCTTGGGCCTTCTGCTCCTCAGTCCCCTCAATTGTAGACCGTAGAGAATAATACTTATCTCTGGCATTGAGAGGGAATTGATCCAGTCTGCACATGAAGTCACTGGAACATATAGACGTTTAATAAAAGGCAGCTATTGATTAGTTTATTTAACAAGCACTTAGGGAGCATCTACTGAGTGTTGTAGATGCTAGAAGAGTGAGGGACACAAACATGGGTGAGGTAAGATTGCTACCCTCAAAGGAGTCTGAGACCTAGTGGATGAGACAGGCACGTGCATACCAGGGCAGAAGGACTGGGGGTACATGGATGCTGCTAAATATGAAATTCGCAAGCCTCAAGTTCCAGATGGGGGCAGTGGTACCGCGGTGTGAATTGCTTTAATTCATTATAATTGTAAATGCTATTTTCCTCTAAATATTATGTACATAACTTCCCAAGGCCACTTCTAAAAATTAATGAATAATTTTGTGAGGCAAGCAGAGCCATTTGATGTAGGATCCAGTCCCTTAATAAGGTGACCCCAAATGCTTCCTTATGCTAGTAATAACATGTATATTGTAAATATGTGAAAGCACTAAAATGTATAAGTTAAAGTTGCATGTCTTGCAATGCATGTCTAAGAGGGACAGTTCACACATTGTTACGCTAATGGCCTCTAATGAATCATACCTCAGTATCCAGGCCCTTGGTGGAGTTGTCTCCCACACTGACCTCAGGCTTGGTCATGTGACATCCTTTGGGACATCAGCTAACATGGCAAAAGCATGGACGTTCCATGAGCACTTGTGCCTTGTTCCTTGCTCTCTTGGAATGCTGTGAAGAAAGTGAAGAAACCTGATCCAGCCTCCTTGAAAATGAAAGACCCCAGGCACAGAGAGGCTTGCCATCTCAGCTGCACCAGCCCTCAGCCAACCCACCAGCTGATTACAGCCACATGAATGAGCCCAGGCAACCTGAGAACCGTGAGAAATAAAATGGTTGTTGTTTTAAGCCACTAAGTGGTGGGGTGGTTTGTTATCCAGTTGTCATACAGTAGATAACTGACACACACAGCACACACAGGCGTTTCAACAGTTACAAGATCTTGGTGAACTTCACCCAAGAGTCAGGACTCACACTACTGTTTTCTGTCATGAAGCATTCAGTTGATGTCACTATGTTTCAGTTTTGCAAAGAATTACACTTTAACGGGCCGGCCCCATGGCTTAGTGGTTAAGTGCGTGTGCTCCGCTGCTGGCGGCCTGGGTTCGGATCCCGGGCTCGCACCGACGCACCGCTTGTCGGGCCATGCTGAGGCCGCGTCCCACATACAGCAACTAGAAGGATGTGCAACTACGACGTACAACTATCCACTGGGGCTTTGGGGGAAAAAATAAATAAATAAAATTAAAAAAAAAAAAAAGAATTACACTTTAAGTAATGCCTAGTTTCAAAGTTCTTCAATGAATGGCTACTGAGCCTCGTACTGTTTGAAATCGTTGGGCAGCCAACATGACCATAAGTTGGCAAAATCAACTTGTAAGCCACTTAAACATGATAACTCCTTGGAACACAACAGGTGTCATAGAGGTCGGCTGTGTTTCTCTCTCCCACTTTTTTGTGAACTTCTTAATGATGGACGCCTTGTCCAATTTGACAAGGTTTCACCGTAGATCATGAAACGTCAGAGAAGGAAGGGAAGTTAGAGATAAGTTAATCTACCGCCTCATTTTATAGAGGAGGAAATGGGGAAGAGAGATAATA